CAGCGGGCGCGAGAAAACTTGGGGTTACGTATGGACGACTCAGAAGTTTCTGAAAGTCATCAAAACTAAAGAAATCGCTAGCTTAAGATTGTGAAGCAGCCATTGGAGAATGAACGAAGCTTTTCAGGGTTATGTAATAAGGAAGCAAAAGATGAACAGTGAATTGTGAAAGAGATGCAGAAAATATGAGGCGTGGTTTGGTAGCAGTGAAATGGCGTGTTTGGGGTTTATAAGGGTTTGCAAAACGACGCACTTTTTCAAGTTATAGAAGGAAACAATGATTGAAATTCTTGGGAATGTCGAACGTTGCTGGAAACATGAAGTGAATATGGCAAAATTCAATATTTATTATTAATTCTGCCATATTGGGGGGTAATTGTTGACGCATAAAAATTCAGCCCAAATCGAACAGCCCAAGGAATAAAGCCCAATTGGAGGATCCCCAAATCAGATAGCCCAAAGAACGAAGTCCAATCGAAAGAATCAAGGTGAAGGCCCAAATAAGGGGCCCAAGGGTACGGTAACGCCATCGCCCAAGTTTGCAAGTCACCCAGAATCTGAACGACTGGAGCGTCATACGGTCGCCCAGAGCTGTTATTCTATTCTCGCCCAAACCTTCAAGTCGCCCAAGATATCAACAAACATAACGCATTGTGGTTATCAAGAAATGCAGTTATCAAGGCAGTTGTTAAAGTAGCCCTATCACGTTCCACAACTCAAGGAATTCAATCGAAGGCAGTTGAACGATGGAAGATAATGGCAGCAGTTAAAAGGCAGTTTCATGACAAAATGGCCACTACAAAGAAAGTGGGTAGTTATAGGACGATCAAGCAGTTTTCAGAGTAGTTAATCACAAAGAGATCGTCTATGAGGTATAAAAGGGAGAAAGGACGTAGAAGCAAAGGACCGAATCCAAAACTCTCGAACAGAGAAATATGTAATTTTCATTTCCTTAGCTTTTAGACTTAAATACTTTTCTTTCTGTAACTCGTGTACTTGCGCCCCTTGGAGGCACGTTGTTTTTCGCTTCCAATTGTAAAGTTCATCGTCAATAAAAGAACACCCCTTTTTGGGACTTTGTCTCAAGAGGTTTCGTCCCTTACACAATCGTCTAATCCTTTTTAATTGTTAGCGAATTAACCCGCGCGAAACAATATATAAACACCAAACACAAGTTGAAATTGAAGAAGAAAACGTAGAAAAGCCGACTGAATTTTTGTGTGACTATTCTTCAACAATTGTGCAAAGAATTTGGAAACTAATCACGTTTCGTCAATTTATCGGTGATTCCATTCCTCTTTTACGTGTTTAATTTCAACATTATGTTAGGTTAATTTCTTCTCATATATTAGATGAAGATGAAACATATTTTTATTTATTTTTAATTCAAGGCAAGTAATTTAGTTTAATTCGTGTTTGTTGATTAATTTTGTATACCAATTGCATTATTTAATTAATTAGCCACCAATTAGATAATTACTTGTTGTAGTATTGAGAGATTCACAATAAATTTAGAACGTGACAAAATTAACATGTGCAGTTAAAATTAGGAATAATCTTTTTCACACATGCAATCATTTAAATAACATAAATTAAATGCGTGATTTTTATATGAATTCGAATTAGGAATAGAATCAGGTCGTGTTAATTATAGGTTCATGTGTCTTAGAAAAGAGCATTGAATAAATTAGCGTTATCGATTGTCAAAACACATGAACGGAACTAGATTACGAATCACGAATTGAAATAGATAGCAATAGGCGGAGTTGAAATCCAATATAATCTTCCATTGACAAAAATCAAACTTTTTCATATTTCTTAGATTAGCTTAGTATAAAAAAAATCAAAAAAATTCACTTTTGTTTTTTATAATTCGAATTTAATAGTAACTAGTAAACTAAAATAAAACATTATTCCTCGTGAGACGATAACTCACAACTCATATTATTATTACTTGTCAATGATCCCGTACGCTTGCGGATTTCACACGAACAAGTTTTTGGCACCGTCGTCGGGGAATAATTTATTTAATTTGAGGTTATTAGTTATTTTTAGATTTGAATTTTTTTTATTCCTTTTTCTTTTTTTCTTTACTTGATTTGTTTTAGGTTATTCATTGAACGATCTAAGTCTCTCATTTTACTCTTTTCAGGAAATCACAGTTTATGCAAAATTCTAATGAAATCGAGCTTCTTCCAATAGATGCTGAAATCGAAAGAACTTTGAGAAAGCGAAGAAAAGAACAGAGACAAGCGAGAAAAATGGTAGAAAATCAACATCCGAATCAAGTTCAAAATCTTTTACCATTACCCCAGCCAGATCAACCAAGGGCTGTAGGAAATCAAGGAAAAGCATTAGTGAGGGATTATGTAAATCCTGTACCAGCCCCTCTGCGATCGATTATTATCTATCCACCTTTTGGGCAGGCCAACTTCCATATTAGACCTAACGTCATCAATTTATTTCAGAATCATCAAGATATTAGGTTCTTTAAGAGATCAACCGAAAATCCTCATGAACACATTCAAGCATTCTTAATGCTATGCGATATGATCACCCACGAAGAAATGTCTGCGGATGCCTTCCGACTGCGCCTATTTCCTCACACGTTAAAGGAGGGTGCGTGGGAATGGTTAAATTCTCTAATTATTGGGAGTATTGTTTCATGGAATGACATGGTGCAGAAATTCACGTTGAAATTTTTTTCGCCATCTCAGTCCATCATATCAGAAATGAAGTCCATACTTTTAAACAAAAGGACCATGAGAGCTATCCAGAAGCGTGGAAAAATTCAAAGATTATTTCAGGAAGTGCCCACTCTAAACATCCCTAAAGAATCGAAGATCTGAATATTCTATTCCAACCTAATACATGAATTTAGCAACATCGTCGATTCTTCTGCTGGAGGGTTAATATTGGATATTTCGTTAGATAATGCCTTGGACCTTTTTGATCGAATAGTAGAAAATCAATCCATGTGACCAATAGACAGAAAAGTGCAAAGGAGGACAGCATGATTACATAACGTTGACATAACTACATCATTGGTAGCCCAATTGGAATCACTGACGAAGAAATTGGATAGCCTTTCTCAAAATGTGAACATGGTACACCAGTCAAAATCGGTTTGCAAAGGGTATGGAGCAAATCATATTACAGAAAGATGTCCTTTAGCCTCCATACATGTAATTCGATCTGAAGAGGTTAATTATGCACAGAACTATCAGAGACAATAGGACAATCCTTATTCCAACACATATAATTCGGGCTAGAGGAATCATCCAAATTTCTCGTGGGCTATCCAGCAACAACAGCTGAGAAAGCCATCGGTTGAGGATATATTGGGGTAGTAAATGGCCAAGACTGAAACTATTATCCAGAACCAAAGTGCTGCAATTAAAAATTTGAAAAACTCAAACGGGTCAGATAGCAACTGCGTTAGCAAACAGAGCACATGGTACCTTATCGAGCGATACAAAAAAGAACTAAAAGGAGCAGGTATTGGCAGTTGAAGGTGTGAATTATGCAATTATTGAGACACCATTGATCAAGCCTACTACACCTGTTTGAGCTTATGTGCCGCCTATCTCATTCCCTCAAAGGCTTCAAAGACCATCTAAAAATGAACAAGTCCAGGCTACAACAACGAGAAGCGAAGTTCAGCTGCCAGAGATCACTATGAAGAAAAAGGGGACTGAGGAGAATCAAGTACCTATCTCAGGGAAAGAACAAGTGGGTCGGTCTGAAAAATCATCAAATGTTAATCAAGAAGAATAGTTAGACAATCTACAGGTCAAAGCAACTGGTCTTGACAATAAACGCACACCTTTAATTCCATTCCCTCAAAGGTTGCAAAACAACAAACTAGACAAACAATTCAAGAATTTCTTGAACACCCTCGTACAACTTCACATCAACATTCCTTTTATTGATACTATTCTACAAATTCCAAATTATGCTAAGTTTTTCAAGGAGATGTTGACTAAGAAGAGAAAACTGCCAAAACATGAAACAATAGCGCTATCTAAAGAGTGCAGCACAATCATCCAGCACAGGATCCTTCCCAAACTCAAAGGTTCAGGGAGTTTCACTCTACCTTGCTCCATAGGAAATTTGAATGATATAAATTGTTTAATTGATTCAGGAGTGAGTATTAATTCAATTCCCTTACCTCTTTACAGGAAACTGGGATTAGGAGATCCTAAGGCGGCATCTATTATCCTTCCACTGGCAGATCGATCATTGAAACACCCCTACAAAATAGTTAAAGACATGCTTATCAAGGCGGAAGAGTTTATTTTTCCAGCTGACTTCAAGATCCTTGACATAGAAGAGGATATCAGATGCTAATAATCTTGGGAAGGCCATTCTTGTCTACGAACCAAGCCTTGCTGGATTTTGGTACTAACGAGATAGTCTTGAGGGTGGAGGATAAGCAACAGAGTTTCACCATAGAGAATCCAATCAAGCAACTATCATACTTTGAGGATTGCCAACGAGTAGATCATTGAAAAAACTACAAAGATAGGCCAAACGCAGGAGGAATTATTGGTAGGGACAACAATGGAAAGATGATTGTTTGGAGAGTCAAGGATGAACCGAAGAAGTGCAACCAGTGTATAAAGTGCAAGGCTGAAAACTCACTTTTCAAACCACCATGAATAGCCAAAACAAAAAAATATAGCTAAAGACTATAAATTAAGCGTTTATTGGGAGACAACCCAATTTCTTAACCATTTATTTATTTTGTTTTCTACATCGCATTACATGTAGACTTGTTTTGATTATTAGTTTGCATTAGATTTAGGCACGTTTAAATTTATAGGGTATCATCATCCGATCATGTTTTTACCGAGACCCTTAGATTTAATGTTGGTTATTTCGAGTGTTTGGGTTAAGTAACACATGTTCTAGATTATTTGATCTCTAATATTTGATTTGATTGCCATATGTAGAAACATGATGTCGTGGAACACTCAAACCAACATAGGCCAAGGGAAAAATAGGATGAAGAAGATGGCCTTCACCCATAGTCCCTTCCACGCTCAATAGAAAAACTCGAGGAGTACCTTCGTCTTTTTCTTCCCCCATCCTCTTACATTCTTAATTATGTTTTAAGACATTGAGGACAATGTCAGGTTTAAGTTTTGGGGTGAAAAAACTTTAAGTTTTTTGTTTTCGTGTGTTTTTATGTGTTTGTTTTTCTTTTGTGTGTTTATTTACAAAAAAAAAAAAAAATCGTTACATTTTTTTTGGTTGTGTGCTTGTGTTGGTTAGACAGTTTGACTGACAATGATGATTAAATTTGAGGTTTAGTATTGATTTATGAACTGTAGATAGGGAGCATGCTAGATTGATTGAAACTTAAACTTGCAAAATTTGATATTATATGCGCACTAGAATTAAGTTTGACATTATGATGAAATAAATTGATTCATGCACTTGATAGATTAAGTTAGTTGAACATAGATGCTTTACCCAAATCATACTAATTATTTATCTTTAGACCAAATTTAGTACAATTTGGGGGAGATTTTACTGTTGTAGGAAGATACATATGTGAATGTGGATTCCTTGTGTGAAAATTTTTGTGTGAATTGTCTAAGATTAACATTATAAAATTAGGTGAAAGTCCTAAATTAAATGTCAATTTGCTTGAATGAGTGTGTGATAAGGGATATTGCACTAATCAATGCATATATTTTGGAAAAAAAAAAACCTTATCTTTGGAGCCTTTATAATTCAAGCAATTAAGCCTACAAAGGAATTTTAAAACCTGGTGCTCTAAAATCATCTCACTTGGGAGTCATCGGTCTAAAACTCATTAAAGGGGTCATTCAAAAGGCAATTAGATATGAAGTTACCCTAAAAAAAATTGTTCTCTTCGAAACCTTTTTTACTGAAGTTATTAAGTCTGTAAGGGTATTTGAAAACCTGGTGCCCTAAAGTCATTTGACTTGAAAGTCATTAGCCTAAAGCCTGCTACATGGATTATCTAAAAAGTTTAAGGGGGGTGAAAAAAAGGGTAAAAGCACTAAATGCCTTGTAAGTCCTCGAGAAAATTTGAGTTTTGATGAAAGATAATTAGTTTAATTGAATTTTGGCGGTCAAAGCAATCAAATAAATTAAGAATCCTAGTTCACTGATGTTGACTTGCAAGTAATTATGTCTATTTGAATTGAAGGGGGTGAGGATAGTAATGAAAAATTCAATCTTGGATTACACACTAGGAAGAGAATGAAAAAGAATAAGTTTGGGGGTGTGTGAATCTTACGACGGGTGAAAGGATATATTTGATAATAGAGGGTCGGGAGTTGGAACAACTTGTGAAATCATTAATGTCAACTTAGTTCTTCACACACACACATCGATTTTGCATTGGAATAGTGGATATTGGTTTGGCATTGTGACTTTGAAGCGATTTGTAGATTTAATATCGTGATTTCAAAACCTGAGGTAAAAAAGCTAAACAGTCCAACCAAGTATTTTTGCATGCTTGTGTGTTTGTTGCTAATTAGGTTATAGTTTCCCCCAAACTTAAACTTTTGTTCGTCCTCGAACACATTGTTTATTAAACAATAATGTACATTAGCCACGTACTAAAAATAGATAAAAAGGAGTTAAGAGTGTATTTTTCAGCCAAAATAATTTTCGATGGCATCAAATATTTTAAAAATTATACGTAATTTATACAAAACGTGTCACGTATTTATAGTATACATGGACTGTTGGAATATTCTCAAAATTTGGTGTTGATTGATTTGATTCCTCTCAAGCGAGATGACGTGGAAATTATGTTAAAGTCATCTTGAAAATTTTTCTAATAATATCAATTTGACATTATAAAATTCAGTCGAGGTGGGGAAGACGAAGTGAGGCTGCAATATAACAAGTCTATTCTAATGGTTGTGACTCTAATATGTAGTCATAACTATCGAGAAGAAATGTTTTACGATCTATATATAAGTATTATGCCCTAGGTCCAATCAACTTTGGATATAAATACTTTTGATATATAATTAATGCAATTTAATGACAGATTTATTATTTAATTAATAGACAATTAAATAAATAATAGAGTTCGCAGATTCAAATCTTCGTAATTTGTTAATCACAAGGAGTTGTGATTGTGAGATACAAATTACATCTGATTGAATCTTAAATCATCCATGGTCGTAAGTAATAACGAGATACAGATATTGTTATTACGGATAGATCATCACATGTGGCATTTCTTATTTGTGAAGTAAGTAGCTGATCTTACAAGTTAAAGTCTGGTGACACTTAAATGAACACGTTGATATTTTGTTATAGAACGAAATATTGGAGACCCGCCGAAAGATTCCACATGGATAACTATTTGAGTGTCAGTGATTAATCTCTAACGTTTGGTAGTGGAATTGGTCATTTGATTTCAGGTCATCATGGTACCTTATATGAGGACAGTCATGCTTTGGCAGTATTGGATGTTGCTCTGAAAATAGCCGCTAATACGACATCGTTCGGGTACGTCAAGAATCATATGAATATTGTAATTGATCAATAAAGGATTCGTCACTCTTAGATAGTAGGAGATTATGATCTGCGTTTCATTCAATTAAGTCGATGATGAAATCATTGGTCAAGGTGTACTCATAAGTCGAAAAGAAATTTTCGACTTATATTGACCTAAGAATAGAGTGAAAGATACGATTGATAGTCGAGATTGACACACTTCCATATCTCGTAATTGATCGGATCATATTGACGAAGGGATTATAGTTTCACGGTAAACGAACGAATTTGATTTTTTCACACCACATGACATTTCCTGTCACATGTATTGCCCTGACACATTGCTAGATGTCAATCAGAGACGGCGAGTGTGAATTGACGATAAATTAAAATGGTGTTTTAATTTATCAATTTTGATTAGATCAAAATAATATTTCACGTCGTTAGGCATCGTGGTCGAGAACCTAATGGGTCGCACACAAAAGAGATTTGGAAGATTGCAAATTGCGAATTGGTTAATTTAACAATCGTTGAATAAATTAATTAATTGGATTTGTTATTTATATTCCCGAATTAATTAATTAGATTAATTAATTCACGGATCGGGTTTAATTAAATGGATTAATTAAATATTGGATCGGACCGTGTCGAGCTCGTTTGGGTTTATATATAAATACATGGCTAGGGTTTGAGATCCATATGGTTTTCATTATTTTTACTGGCACAAGAGGAAAAATCCTGGTAGCTGCAATTTTATTCTCTGTGTGGATTACCGTTGGAGGCTAGATAATTGGACAGCTGTGGATGGCGAATCAAGATTGCTGGAACAAAAAGAAAAGCAAAAGGTTTGTAGAATTCGTCAAAGGTACAATCTTTATCACGATTTCTATCTAAACACAAAGGGATCCTCGATGGAAATCGAAATAATTTTAATTTTCGCTGTGCATGTTTAAGTAGATTCCCAACAGTGGTATCAGAGCCTACTTTGTATTTGTTAGAAATTGTTTTAAATATATGAGAACAATCAAAGGTTGATTTTGTTCTTATTTTTTTGTTTCTAGCGATTAATAAAGTTTTATTTTCATAATTTCAAAATCTGTTTGATATTAAATTTATTAAATAATAATAAAAAAAATATTTGGATCGTTTTTGTTGCTGCCGGTTCTGTATGGCAATGGTGGGGGCAATCGACGACAATTAGGGGCTCCGACGCTCACCTTTGTCAACTGGCGATGGAGCCAGTGGCAATTGTTGTCGCTGGCAGGGCTAGTCGCGCGACAGCATGGTGCTGCTGCGCGCTGTGACAGCGGTGAGTGCCGTTGCTGCTTATTTTGCAGGAAGTCGCCGCTGCTAGACAGCAGCAGCCTCAGCCGTAGTAGCTAAGGGGCCGTGCCGGCGCCGGCGCCAGCGCCCCTTATTAATAAATGATCGGCGCTGCAAGGCAAATAAGGATGAAATCTTAGGGTTGGTTATCAGTTCGGTTCTGGGTAAATGAAGACAGGGGCTTTAGTTGAAATTTTCAAAGTTTTGAGCCCTTATATGTAATTTGAATTGGGGGTCAATGGGTAAATTTTGAAAGGAGGGCTGCCATGCAATTCCAGAAATTGAAAGGACCTCTTTACGATTTTCAGTTGGGTCGGAATGCAATTTTCAAAAGGGGACCTTGAGTGCAATTTTAAAATGGTTTTAAATTTTATTTTAAATGGGGTTTGACCTATAATTTTAATTTTGATCCAAATTAAAAGTTTTGTTTAAAATTTATGACTTTTTACATTTTCGTTAAAATGTGATTTTAACTTAAATATTAAATTTGACCCTATATTAAATTTTATTTTATTTAGGAGTGTTATCCTAAA